TTTGACTCTTTACAAGACGGACACCTCTTTAAGACGGACACTTAGTGCCAGTCCCAAAGGTGTCCGTCTTAGAGAGAGTTGACTGTATTGCTGTACATATATATCATTTTAGTATATACTAAAACAGTGGATAGTGTTTTTCGCGCGCTCTGATTGGCTACTCAATCAGTGAATATCCTGCACTATTCACTGATTTACCTCCAGTTCCTCCGAGCGAGCAACGCCAAACTCGCGTAAGTTGCGAGCAAAATGCTTTCCCGGTTTGCTGCCGTACACAAACAAAGAAATTTCACAACTAATCAAGCAAGCTGTTTCCGAAATACACGAAGAAGGTGACGAAGTTCGGATTGGAAGTTTTAACAGGTAAAGCTTTGTATTTTTGACATGAATTTATCGATGAAACCGGTGAAAAAGTTTTTGTTTACAAATGCAAATTAAGTAAAGTCTTGCTTACTTAATTTAGTTGAGTTGTTCATAAATAAGCTTAAAAGTAAATTTAATAATCTTTTTTTATAGAATGATTTTAAATACAAAAAGAATTCACAACTCCTTTTGAAGAAATTTCCCCGCAAGAGCTAAACAAATGCCTTCAAAAGTTTTAATTGTGGGCAAGAAAAAGCGACGGCCGCAGCCGCCCGGTCAGTACGCGCCAAAATTGTAATAGTTGAACACGTTAAAAATCGTCATCTTTGTGCCCAATTATCTCACTGTTTTAGTGATACTAAAACAATTATTCACCTTGTCGGTGGCTAGTCGTGGATATTTACCTCACTGCTTCGCAGTTCGATAAATATCCAGGACTAGCCACCTCCACTTCGGTGAATAATTGTTATTTATTTCATAGTGTCCTCAAGTAAAAGATCTCGACACTTGAATAAATATAATAGATTTTTATTCAAAACAATATTTTACGAACGAAAAGTAAAATTGTGATCTAGAGAAATAACAAAAAGACATCGAGCTGATAATAGGGCTTTATTCAAAAAGTAATTGACAAAATATAAGCAAATAGGGCTTTGAAAAAATATAAGCAAAGCTTTGAAAAATGTAAAAATTCAAAAAATGATAAGTAATAAAAAGCTTTGAATTATAGTTAAATCATAACAATAATTTAAATTTACCGAATCTTAGTCATAAAAAAAGGCGGCAAAAAATAACAATTTTCAATAGTGTGTGTACGAAATGTGAAAAAATGCATGATAAAAAGGCCAAAGAAAGGTTTATTGGCTTTCATCGCTACTATCAATAACAATTCTCCGTCTTTTAAACTGATGTGTTTTCTAAAAATCGCTGCCTTTTGGATTCTGCGAATTTGTGAAAATGTTCACTGTTCCTACCTGGCACTGGTAAAGAAAGGGCAAGGTTCCTGCACTTGTGCTGGGTTGAACTGTAGATACCGATGTAATTTCATCTACTGTTACTTTTGGCGAAGACGAAGTAGCAACAGAAGTAGAAGATTCCCCTCTCCTGGATAATACTGTAGAGATGTGCTGCTGTCTTCTGTCAGATATAGCGGAGTAGTTATTCAGTGAATTGACGTTTTTGTGTCCAGTTATCTGCACAATTTCGTTCGGTGGAATATTATTATCCACAAGTTTCTGGACTAGATGCTTTCTTGTACTGTGGTTGACCAATTTCTTGTCTGAATGAACTTGGGAGGCGGCTAACATGTTTTTCACCATAGATCTAAGTGAATTTACTCCCAGTGGAGTTGCCTTGAACCATTTCTTCCCTGCCTTCGGAACTTCTGTGTTGACAGAAAGATAAAACGGAGAGTCGTCTGCCATCATTTCTGGTGCTCTATGTTGCTTATAGGCCAAATAGGCTGTGACAGGACATCGATCATTGTTGTCAAGGTTTTCGAACATCTTTGGCTTGCTATCTCTGACATTTCTTGTGTTTTCACCAGTTCTCGTTTTTGTTTGGCGCTCGGTGGAAAACTTCACGTAACGAAGCCCGTCAGCATTAGTTTTCAGCTCCAAATCTCCCCAGCAAAGATCTCGTTGCTCTTGTCCAGGCCTAATGCCGAAATAGATACAATTGTTCATCCAAACTGTATTCAGAAGTGCTCGTGGCGTTTTATTTCCGAGCACTCCTGCCCGGTAGAATTCCTCTATATCTTCATCTGTGCATCGGCACTATTGGGCTTGTTTCCCTTTCCTATGGCCTTAAGTTGTTTCTGCTTCTTTTTCAGGATATCTTGAACCTCGCAGAATTCTTTGTCGTTCAAAAGGGAAAATGTGCACCCTTTTTTACGGAGATAGCGGTCAACACTTTGCAAAAACCCTCTCAGAGAAGATGGTTCATATTCCTCGCCATTTTTCTTTCTTACTCCGAGTACAAACTTCTTTGCCAACTGTTGGAGCTCGGCGGCTGGAATATTTTCTAGGTTTCTCTCTTCTTCCTCGCTGTTAAGAAACTCGTTAAATAATCTTCGATCAGACACAGTTTTCTTCTTCGTATTGGCATTTTCTTGGTCTTCGGTAAACGACGCAATTTCCTCTCAAATTTCGGAGGGAAATTACCGAAATTACGTCATCGATAAACTCACGTGTGAGATTATGGAAAATAAACCACTCGGGTCCCGGATGTAGTTTTTATGAATTTTACGAGTGGTATATTTTCCAGTAAAACACTCGTGTCTATATAATAAATATTATTATTATTATTGTTATCATTATTGTAGGAATGTCACATTGAAGCTGGCAGAACTGCGTTCATCGTGCCCATTACACGAACTATAATATCAATAAAAAGAAATCGCCAATATTTAATAGTAGAAAAAGAAACTAGAAACTGAATGTTTTTGCGATCAAATTCTTGCTTTGTTAAAATGCGCAGAATTAAAAAATATAAATAAATAAAAGGGGTAGGGTGGCATACGGTTATGATCGATTTTTCCTGAACTGATAATGACTTGTAACTCTTTTAAAACGATCAGAAAACGCTTTTTGAACGTTTAAGGAGATTTTTAATTTGTGAACCAGTTGGGGCGGAGGTATTCAAGCAGTCGCCGACTTTGTTGTAATCTTATACCCATATCTCCAACTGTTAGGCTGAAGGGAGACCTACGATTTACATGGGAAAAACGGACATTCCTGTTGTAAAATCGAATGATTCGCGCCATTACGTGGGAAATGGGAATATTAATTACCGTAATTCGTTATCTTATATTTAGTAGTTATCAACCGTGCGAGGGACCTTCAACCCCCTTTACAGCCCCTTTTCGTGAAGCTATCTTTCTTCATAATTTCTTTCTTTCTTTCTTTCTTTCTTTCTTTCTTTCTTTCTTTCTTTCTCTCTTTCTCTCTTTCTCTCTTTCTTTCTCTCTTTCTCTCTTTCTCTCTTTCTCTCTTTCTTTCTTTCTTTCTTTCTTTCTTTCTTTCTTTCTTTCTTTCTTTCTTTCTTTCTCTCTTTCTTTCTCTTTTCTTTCTTTCTTTCTTTCTTTCTTTCTCTCTCTCTCTTTCTTTCTTTCTTTCTTTCTTTCTTTCTTTCTTTCTTTCTTTACCAGCTCCAACACTATAGCATTCCTGAACGCGTCTTTGTTAAGATCTGCCTCAGCATTTTCGATATTTTAACTTTGTTGGACTTGTTATATTCTGGGAAATCCTTCGTGTTGAACTAGACATAGAATTAAAATTCTCCGCTTCAAGTTTCTTATCTCTGTTTAACAAATAGGAGCAGCACGTATGCCTTATGACATAACATAACATACACTTTATTACGACTCCTCTATACTGGGCTATTCTGTCGTAATATAGATATTAATAATATATATTGTAATAATATTCTGTCTACTGTAACATCATGAACTAGGAAGTAATTCCCCTTTAGGCATTAAAACATTATACATGAAATTAGGCTACATCACTTAACCTTCAGCCAAAAAAAACGAACTTGTTACTGTCATGCTATCACTTGCAAGAAGTTCAATGAAAAAGTTGCTTACACAAACAATACAGGTCGGTGGTAGAGCATTCGTTTCACTAATACGAAGGTAATAGGTTTAACCCCTGAAGGTCGAGTGAGCACTCGAAATTTCTTTTTTTGTGTGTTACTGACTGATTGCACGTCCCGAACACAAAATGCTCCTTTTGATTTCATCTGTAACCATGATGAATGTTTTTTTGTGATTTTTACAGGCATAGCACAGGGGCACCCAACGACAATTTTCGGAAAAATATCCCTACGGAAGACGATTTGAGATCTAGAATTTTGGGAACATTTGTTGTAAAATTTCTTAATTGCCTGCTCTCCTAGGATTTTCGAACATCTAAAAAATGGTATAATTGCCTATTTTGAACGGATTTTTACCCTAAAAAGGTCACCTCGAATTTTCGGGAGCCTTTTTTCGGGCTGAAATTTTCGAAAAGTTAAGTTTTGATCCCTATAATTTTCGGATCACTGGACTTTCAGCGAAGAGATCCGAAAAGATGAAAAATTTTTAGGGGATAAAAATATGCCTATATCTACCGTTTAAATACTAAAATACGTTTAACATTTCTATGTTTATGTGGTTTTGAACTACATTCTCGTTGGGTGCCCCTGATAGCATATAAAACACCAGGGATGAAAAATTTGGCCAATCTTGGCAAGTTTCGATTCATGTCCACCATTGCCATCTCTTGCAGTAGACGGTGGGAAATTTAGTTTCAGTGCCTAAATATAGCTTGAAACAAATAACTGGACCATTATTTCTTGAATTCAATTTATGCGAAAAACGTTTTTGGTTTTTAAAAAGATAGCGCATAGTGTGACATAGCCGATTTAAAGGCGAAAGATCACATGAAATTCTTCATGACAATTATGGCCGAGCTGGTGAAATGGGTCTATACCATAAACTTTTATTCCACTGGATAAAGTGTCATTATCTTAACCTTCTTAAGATGTTTATCTTCGTCATCAAGAGCCATGGCTCTTGTTGTCATTTATTATTTAGCGACAAATCATAGCACGTACCCAAGATCATGAAGTGTCTATAAGATAAACAAACGGCAACTGTTAAAAAAAGGAGCTGGCAAAATTACAGGCAGCCCAGAGTGTAAAGGTTAGTTGCACTTGAATGGTATTATATACACCCTAACGTATTTCTTATTGTTAGTACAACTCAAACTCTAAAACTCATCCAAATGGATCTTGAAACGAACAGACAGTAAGAAAAAAACGTGTTGAGTCGGTTTCATTTCTATTAAAAAAAATGGGAGTCGGAATTTATTTATAAAACCAGGGCTGTCTGCAGCAAAATTTATGTCGCGACCGAGTAGAACGTGTGGCAAGTATCCCCTTTCCCTCCTACGACTACGGCCCTCCCTTTCCAATAATAATAAAAAAAAGGATTCTTCCGTTCTCTTGCCAGAATTGTGAAGCTTTTGCTGAAGCACCTGCTTTTATTTACATAGCTAGTCAGACTAGAACTGGTTTGGGTTAGGGTTAGGGTTAGGGTTAGGGTTAAGACACTACAAACGGTGCTGTTGGGGGATGTCACGCATCCAATTTCCCCGAAGTACAAGTATATAAAGACAAACTGCTCGATAAAGGAAACAATTCCCTTTTCTTTTATTCGCCCTTTTGCTTTTGACAACATTTAAAAACAACAGAAAAAACATTCTATACCGAATTTATTCCGCCTCGGCTTCACAATCAAACAGCACGAGACTGCAAGACTAAACTGAGAAAACTCGAGCAAAACTGGACGTAAGCTGGTTGGTCCGGCAGCCTGGGTTTTTCAAATCTTGCGGAAGCTCTGCATCTTGTCGTTGGGGAATCCCATGGCTTGTGGAGTGTCACACCACATTCCTGGTTTCAGAGCAGTTTGCAGACCTTTATAGTCGGCTTTGGTGAAGATGTCAAAAGACTGGTTCTTAGATAACACGATGACTGAGGAGACGCCTCGACCTGTTCCACTTTGGAATAGACTGTTCACATCTGCGCAACTTTCTTCAAACCACTACAATAAATGATCACAAAAAAACATAGCACTCAGATTTAAGGTCATGAGTAAAGACAACGGTCAGGTTTGGGTCAGCATCAGTTAGACTTCTGTCACATATAACACTTGTACAAGCTAACAAATGATTTCTAATGAACCTAGATGGAATTCACCAAATTGGTTCGATATGTCCGTTGTAAAATATAAGCTCGTTCCCGAAGTGGATGGAGGGTGTAATAGACAACCTTTTAGTGGGAGTTCGCAGCCCGCTTCTGAGAACCCGTGTATTACTCCGGACCGCCATTATTCAGACCAAAACGTAAAAACTTGTACACCAGATTTCAGGCCATTGACCATAACTAAAATCTGATCGCTTTTACAGATCATCAGCTTCTGTTTCAGAACACACTGACTTCAAAAATTGCATGTCTGAGCGGAAATAGCAAAGTCAAAAAAAGTTATGTCATCCTGTATTAGTTTATCCATGCAATGTTACGTCTAAGAAGGGCATTTAATTGCAAGATTATTCAAGTGAAAATTAGTTACTTTTAAAACTAATGATGCCAGATCAGAATTCACAAAACAAGTCCAGTTCAATTCAAAAGGCATTGAAAAATTTTCATCCTGACCATGAGCTAAAGAAAAAAACATACTCTTTGCTGTCTCACGTACTTAAGTAAGTTAATATCCCCAGATAGGAGGCCAGGGAAGTTTGAGCTATTTGTGCTGTCTTTACATTAGAAATCGCGAAGCGTAACAAAGAGACCATAGGTTTTCATAGTGAAGTGTTTGCTATTGACAGCAGTTGATAAGGTTATTTATTATGTTCCTAATGCATTACCTTCCTCTCTCCACCGTAGAAGGAGTGTTCAAACAAAATGATTCCTTCTGTCTGGTCCTTCACCAGGTACATGGAGCCATTGACGCCAGTTATATCTTCATCTGCTCCTGGCTGTAATATCTTGTAATTTGATCGGCTGCCACCAGATTCTTTGTCATTGAAGTTTGGGTAGGTGTATAAGATCCAGGTTCCTGCTGTAACGACCGCTCGTTTGAAAAGAACGTCACTTTGCAGATTCATTTCTGAATCTGCAAACTCCTGGTGCAATGTGCTTGAGGGTTCGGTGTACAACTTGATGGACATGGTGGATCACAACTGCGGTAGATAGATACGGAAATACCAATCAGTACAAATGTGTATACTTGTATAAATGACTATGCTAAATCGACTTTTTGCACTAAAAGGGTTTTGTGAGATTGAATTTTAGCTATCTCGCTTAAAATACTGAGAAGCGAGGGGTCGAAGAAAGTAACAATTTGCATTTGTAGCCAATAATTTGCTAGATTATCTCCTCCGCATCTCAATATATTTGTGGAGGGCTTTGGCCCTGCAGTGGTACCCAAAGGTTTGGAACGTTCAAATGACTGATATATTTTTTTGGCGTTTCCAAACTATAGGCGACTGATTTCCAGCTATCTTTGCATAGAACTCTACTTACCTTTGCTTGCCAAGCGTCGAATATGGAGACACAACCTTTCTTGACGTCTTGAAACACACCTTTGCCCCTATT